GCTTCTATACAATATACAGTTAATACAGAACACATCAATCTAGTAACTGTTGATATTACCTTCTATAAAATATACTGTTACTACGGAACACATCACTCTAGTGACTGTTGACATTAGCTTCTATACTATATACAGTTAATACAGAACACATCAATCTAGTAACTGTTGATATTACTTTCTATAAAATATACTGTTAATACAGAACACAGCATTCCAGTAACTACAGTTAATCAGAACACATCATTCTAGTGACTGCTGACATTACCTTTTATAAAATATACTGTTAATACGGAACACATCATTCTAGTGACTGTTGACATTGCCTTCTATGAAATATACTGTTAATACGGAACACATCATTCTAGTGACTGCTGACATTAGCTTCTATACAATATACAGTTAATACAGAACACATCAATCTAGTAACTGTTGATATTACCTTCTATAAAATATGCTGTTAATACAGAACACATCATTCTAGTGACTGTTGACATTGCCTTCTATGAAATATACTGTTAATACGGAACACATCATTCTAGTGACTGCTGACATTACCTTCAATGAAATATACTGTTAATACAGAACACATCATTATAGTAACTACAGTTAATACGGAACACATCATTGTAGTGACTGTTGACATTACCTTCTATAAAATATACTGTTAATACTGATCACATCATTCTAGTGACTGTTGACATTACCTTAGTAACTACAGTTAATCAGAACACATCATTCTAGTGACTGCTGACATTACCTTCAATGAAATATACTGTTAATACAGAACACATCATTCTAGTAACTACAGTTAATACGGAACACATCATTGTAGTGACTGTTGACATTACCTTCTATAAAATATTCTGTTAATACAGAACACATCATTCTAGTGACTGCTGACATTACCTTTTATAAAATATACTGTTAATACGGAACACATCATTCTAGTGACTGCTGACATTACCTTTTATAAAATATACTGTTAATACGGAACACATCATTCTTGTGACTGTTGACATTCCCTTCTACAAAATATACTGTTAATACAGAACACATCATTCAAGTGACTGATGACATTACTTTCTATCAAATATATAGTTAATACAGAACACATCATTCTAGTAATTACAGTTAATACGGAACACATCATTCTAGTGACTGCTGACATTACCTTTTATAAAATATACTGTTAATACGGAACACATCATTCTAGTGACTGTTGACATTGCCTTCTATGAAATATACTGTTAATACGGAACACATCATTCTTGTGACTGTTGACATTACCTTCTCTAAAATATACTATTAATACAGAACACATCATTCTAGTGACTGCTGACATTACCTTCAATGAAATATACTGTTAATACAGAACACATCATTATAGTAACTACAGTTAATACGGAACACATCATTGTAGTGACTGTTGACATTACCTTCTATAAAATATACTGTTAATACGGAACACATCATTCTTGTGACTGTTGACATTACCTTCTATAAAATATACTGTTCATACGGAACACATCATTCTTGTGACTGCTGACATTACCTTCTCTAAAATATACTGTTAATACGGAACACATTATTCTAGTGACTGTTGACATTACCTTCTATAAAATATTCTGTTAATACAGAACACATCATTCTAGTGATTACAGTTAATACGGAACACATCATTCTAGTGACTGCTGACATTAGCTTCTATACAATATACAGTTAATACAGAACACATCAATCTAGTAACTGTTGATATTACTATCTATAAAATATACAGTTAATACGGAACACATCATTCTAGTGACTGTTGAAATTACCTTCTATAAAATATACTGTTAATACGGAACACATCATTCTAGTGACTGTTGACATTACCTTCAATGAAATATACTGTTAATACAGAACACATCATTCTAGTAATTACAGTTAATACGGAACACATCATTCAAGTGACTGTTGACATTACCTTCTATAAAATATACTGTTAATACAGAACACATCATTCTAGTGACTGTTGACATTACTTTCTATCAAATATATAGTTAATACAGAACACATCATTCTAGTAATTACAGTTAATACGGAACACATCAATCTAGTAACTGTTGATATTACCTTCTATAAAATATACAGTTAATACGGAACACATCCTTTTAGTGACTGTTGACATTACCTTTTCTAAAATTTACTGTTAATACAGAACACATCATTCCAGTGACTGTTGACATTACTTTCTATCAAATATATAGTTAATACAGAACACATCATTCCAGTGACTGTTGACATTACCTTCTATAAAATATACTGTTAATACGGAACACATCCTTTTAGTGACTGTTGACATTACCTTCTACAAAATATACTGTTCTTACCAAATCATATATATGTTTGTACATTAGGACCACACTCAATAACACACATACATCCTCACATACACACATAATAAATATGCATTCACACAAACACACAAGCCAGGACGACTAGGAATTCCCTAACCTATAGGTGAGTGAAACGGACCACAGAAACATTTTTTTTAAATAACTTATTTTGCGAGTATATGTCTCACACGCAGATTTGCACACAATGACGCAATAAAACCAGATACCTGGCATATATAACTACACGTAAAATTTACAGCTTGTAATTCTGATTACCTCATATGCACTGGTGATCCTGAGTCTATAGAAAACAGGCAGATAGATATGGGCAGCAAGTGCGATGGTGAAGAAGTAGCCCAGTCCAATCCACCAGTATATGGTCGTATAGTTGTACATCTCGGCTGGAGTCCCTAGCAACGTTATGGCCGACATGAAGCTGGCCAGGAGGGACAGAGCCACAGGGATGGCACTCATGTTCCCTCCCGCCAATAGATATTCCTTGGTGTTGCTTCGCTTCCGGTCTTTGATGGCGTAAAATAAACCGATTCCTGCGCAGATAAACAGCAATGCGCCGAACAAGACATAGTCAACTGTATGGAAAGTGTTCCGGACCCCAGTCTGGAAACTGTATTGGCGCGTCATAGTTAAATCCGAAGACAGCTGTCCTTTAGCAATGAAACAATTAAAAAACGAAACTTTCGCTACGTATTGCCGACAACGTATAGAAGTGAACACACAAACTTTTAAAAAGAGTAAATGGATGAGACGGATGTTACAGGTTGATTGATTGCACGTCACACATTAACGTTATATGGTGGCAGACCTTGTACCTGTCAGCTTTCGTACTGTCATCAGTGCGAGACACCTGGTCAGTTAATATTTACTATAAAGGTTTCAGCTAAGATCCGCGACCTCTGGAGTTATATAGGTCATTGTAAGTAGAGATCTCGTGTCCGAACTCCTCCCGCTAAAGTCTCCGCCGACAATGGCAGACCCTCCTTGTCTGATCAGATCCACTCTACTAGACACAACAACCGGTTACTGAAAACACATACTTCATAAAATCCTAACTTTTCCAGTGAATAACAGAGATACACTGCCTATTCGCAGTAAACTTCCACATGTCGTTAGTAATCTTATCAAGCTAAAAATGAAAGTATTTCCAGGCAATTTTGATAAATTCACTCGTTGAAGAACGATGGATGGATGTGGCTTTGTGCGTCTCCAATTATTAGCTGATCGGGTCAGATCCACTTATCTTACCTGTAGTATCAACTACACAGGGACCTAACACGTGCTGTTATAACGACACTAGGAATAGTATAGATGTAATGTACATGGATTGTATATCAATGGTCCCTGTGTCGGAAAGGTTCATCTGAATAAAATAGCCTACAGCCGTTAGGTGTTGGGCCTAGGCGTATACCTACAGCTGGTGACGCTCGGTGAATGACAGTTCGTTTTCTATTGTAAATATCACCGGCTAGATCTTCGGGACTTTAAGTATACAATTATCACTTGTCGTATTTGATTGATATTCATAAAGCATGGTTGTTTTTTATCAGAAATACTTCCATCTGCGAATACACCGTTCGTTCCAATAATTTAGAGACAATGCTCAATATGCTTACTGGTCTGTAATTACCAGTATCCAGACTACTACCTTTTTTATAAAGAGGTTTGACGCGGGCAGATTTCATATCATCTGGAACTCTCCCTTCTATAAATGACATGTTAATTAAAAACGTGATAGGAATTTTCAAGAATTTAGCGCCATCTTTCAAAAACTTAGCTGGGATTTCGTCCAGTCCTGTACTTTAACTCTGATTTAGTTTACAATGTTCCTTAAAGATATACTCCTCTGATACCTGACGGAGAACAAACTTCTTCTCTCTTGGATTTCTTAATTTGTAAAAATTCGTTAAAAAACCTGAACCTATGGAGTACAACTTCTTGGCTGGCTACATTTGTAAAATAGTTATTAAAATGATCTGCTACACTTTTGTGGTCATGACAGTTTTCTCCATCTATATCTAAAACAATATTTGAATCTCCTTTTGCTTTATTTTTAGAGCCAAAATCTTTCAGATGTTGCCATAATTTCTTTGAATCCTGTTTGTTTTCTTCTATTTTTTCCGAAAAGTAATTTGACTTAGCATCTTTTACATCCCTTTGTACTTTGTTTCTAAGGGTACAGTATAAGTAAGTCCTCATTACTTTTACTAGTTGTGAATAAATTCAGGAAACCATCTCTGTGTTTAATATTCAATGTTCATTCACTGACAATATAGTTGTAAACACACCAATGTTCACTGACAATATAGATGTAAACACACCAATGTTCACTGACAATATAGATGTAAACACACTAATGTTCACTGACAATAAAGATGTAAACACACCAATTTTCACTGACATTATAGATGTAAACACACCAACGTTCACTGAATTTTCGTGTTGACTGAACGAGTGACAACGAATTTTTAAGTATTGGATGAAATTGAAAAGAACTGATAATTGCATTTTCAAAGCATGTTACAATGAAATGGTAGAGAATTCAGATAAATTGATGATGCACATCAAAGATAAGCTATACAGGATAGGCCTAGGGTATATTTGAGAATATGATATTAACGACAATAATTTGTATTCCTCACTATAACCTGTGGTTTCATATAACCGGTATCGGCTGCTTTCCTAACACGTAAACATAAGGAGTACAGTGTAGTATGTGTTGCGGTTTATAGAGTAATCTTACATATTTTATGTTACATAATCTATGAAGTTTTGCCGTCTGTCATCTGAACGAGTGCACCTGTTACTACTGTCACGGGGTTGAAGTTTTCCTCTTTAAACTGAATAAGGACAGTGACTTTTCTAACCTTAAACTGAATAAGGACAGTGACTTTTCTAACCTTAACTGAACAAGGCCACACAAACTACATGTTGTAGGGGCTAACTTTCTCTCTTTATAATAATCAAGGAAATACAATGCTCATATTTTAGGGGCTAACTTTCTCTCTTTATAATAAACAAGGAAATACAAAGCTCATATTTAAGGGGCTGACTTTCTCTCTTTATAATAAACAAGGAAATACAATGCTCACATTTTAGGGGCTGACTTTCTCTCTTTATAATGAACAAGGAAATACAAAGCTCATATTTTAGGGGCTGACTTTCTCTCTTTATAATGAACAAGGAAATACAATGCTCACATTTTAGGGGCTGACTTTCTCTCTTTATAATGAACAAGGAAATACAAAGCTCATATTTTAGGGGCTGACTTTCTCTCTTTATAATGAACAAGGAAATACAATGCTCACATTTTAGGGGCTGACTTTCTCTCTTTATAATGAACAAGGACATGCATAGTTCACACTTTATGGGCTGACTTTCTCTCTTTATACTGTACAAGGAAATACAAAGCTCACATTTTAGGGGCTGACTTTCTCTCTTTATAATGAACAAGGACATGCATAGTTCACACTTTATGGGCTGACTTTTTCTCTTTATACTGTACAAGGAAATACAAAGCTCACATTTTAGGGGCTGACTCTCTCTCTCTTTATAATGAACAAGGAAATACAACGCTCACATTTAAGGGGCTGACTTTCTCTCTTTATAATGAACAAGGAAATACAATGCTCACATTTTAAGGGCTGACTTTTTCTCTTTATAATGAAAAAGGAAATACAATGCTCACATTTTAGGGGCTAACTTTGTCTCTTTATAATAAACAAGGAAATACAATGCTCACATTTTATGGGCTGACTTTTCCTCTTTATAATGAACAAGGAAATACAATGCTCACATTTTAGGGGCTGACTTTCTGTCTTTAAACTGAACAAGGACATGTAAATGTCACTTTCCAGGGTCTAATTTTCCGTCTTAAAACCGAATAAACAGATAAAGTGTTATGTAAACTAAATTGGTATCAATGGTCAAGTTGAATTGTCTGTTTATTCCGATCATTCTAGTGACTGTTGACATTACCTTCTATAAAATATACTGTTAATACGGAACACATCATTCTAGTAACTACAAATGTACAGTTAATACGGAACACATCATTCTAGTGACTGTTGCATTTACGGAACACATCATTCTAGTGACTACAGTTAATACGGAACACATCATTCTAGTGACTGTTGACATTACCTTCTACAAAATATACTGTTAATACAGAACACATCATTCTTGTGACTGTTGACATTTACGGAACACATCATTCTAGTAACTGTTGACATTACCTTCTATAAAATATACTGTTAATACGGAAAATACCGTTTGGTATGATTTGTATTTAACGAAATTTGTTTCTTTCAATTTCATAGAATACAGACAATGATCTTGAGTTTGTGTATTTAAAACGTCATAGTTTAAATGTTTTTCTATCTACAAAAAAATGGGAAAAGGAAAGCTGTCATCCCAGATTATGCCCGTGTCATGGAAGACACAACACACAATCCTGTAGTACGATACATACAAACAATTAGAAAAAATATGATGTAAATTAACATTGTCCTCGAATAACAGTCCTCTTGCAGTTGACTTGATACTATCTTGTTTACTCAGTAAGAAATGTGAAACTGAAGACGATAAATAATATGTAAACGGTTGACACAAAGGGGAACTTGCACGCTGTGAAGGAGCTTCAAATGTAGGTTCTATATATGAGGTCAATCAAATGTCAAAGTTTGTGTCACCTCTTGACCTCTTGATCTGAACTCGGCGACAGAGAGTTGGATAGGAGGCCTTCAGTACGTTACACGTGTGAGATAGCGGGTGTAAAATTAAAATTATAAGCAAATATTGGTTGAAAAAATTGTCACATATAAATATATTTTCACACAGCAGCACTAAACTAGCAACGACATCTGTAACATTTTACATAACGAGATCAGTATTTATGCTTGGTCAAAGAGCAGTATAACTGAAGTGGAATCTGAATACAGGTGTTTTATTTACCCCGTTGGACGCTTCGATACAACCGAAAGGAGCCCGGCCAGGTAACAAAGTGTCCCATCGTGAGTAACTCTACTTTCTAATTCACACCACGTACATCATCAGACTATCCGGTAGACTGAGAGATATTTACGTGAGATAACCATTAACAGGATAGACTTAAAGTTTCCACTCGATAAACACGTCATATAGCAAATATACATATCAAAATGGTGTACATGTATCACAACCAAACTAACTCAATTTGCATAATAAACTGTGTGACTGTGTTCAAAAATTACACTACTGAACGATTGCTTTGTTCACACAAGATGCCCTTTTCCCTAGTCAATGTTTTTTTTACGTTCATTACAAAAAATGTAAGTTGGCAGCAGACTTGTATTATTTAGCTTACACCAAGGTAATGGGCTACAATCTACATTGGAGATAGCTTTATTGGGAAGCTTTATAGCTTCGGTCGCTTTGTGTCTATAAGTGTATATCATATTTTTCTTGATGTTTCACTTGAATATGGTCTGTAAACTTATGTCTCGTATAGATAGTGAAATTGTTTTCTTTATGTCATGAATATTCAATTTCGATGTCCAATCGAAACGTATCATTAATTAATCATGTTTTTAAAACATTTTAGTTAAGCTGAAGTTTTAAGTTTCTGATTCTATGGAATGTTAACTCGTTAAACAAAGTCATTTTGCGAAAATAAAACTTCAAAAACATTAAACAGGAAAATGGTGATATGTTTTTTATTTTTCCATAAGTACAATATTAACATTGCTGTCAATATTTTATATAATATTTTATGCATTCTTGTAATTTGTTATGATCAAGGTAGTGGGGATAAGGTTATATGCATGTGTCAAGCGATCGTTCCATAAAGGAAGGCAATTTTCTAAGTACAAATACTCAATGCTTTTTTTCATGAATTTTCAATATATATTTATTTTTTGCTTTTCTCTCTGTACATTTTTTTTGTTTGGGTAAATTGATGTAAAATTGTTAAGTCGTCAGTGAAATCACAACACAACGCCGTAAATCTCAAAACAGTCATCTGGGTCCTCTCTGGTGTAAATTACTGACGTCAGTAACGTTCAAAATGAGGCTCACTTATATTAACCTTTCGGGGTGACATTATCTACTCTTCGTGACATCATTAATTATCAATTTCAAGGCATGTCGTCTCAAGACGTAAACCACACTTATCACATACTTAAAGACGTACATACACACGGACATGTAAGCAGACATTCCAACAATTAGACATGTAAAATGACATGTTGACATCTACACTGGGAAACTTATTCAGATAAATTTATGACATCAAAAAGCATGAGGGAACAATCCCAGGTTGTGTACCTCATTGAAGTGAAACCAGACAAAATAAAGAGATAGTTGGTGATTAGTTTTCAGTAAGGAGTGGGGAAAGTACAATAGATAATGTGTCTAAAACATGTAAACCACATTATAAATGCAACCTCTCATTTATAACATTTTGTGGT